TTGATTTATTGATTGATTGATTGTGGCAAGGCCTGTGAAAATGTTGCCAGGGCAAGTAAGACATTTAAACCACTGGCCAAACCGGGCCAGTAGAAAATGTCTTTAGCGTTGAGCCTTGTCAATACGATCAAAATCAGTATCATAACACTTGTACACAGATCTGTAGAACACGTAGGTTACATAATGATATTTTAAAATTAAAAACTTAAAATATGTACTTGAAAAGAAAACAGGATGACTTTGAATAGCATCATTGTAAAATTGTGAGGAAGAGCTGAGCAAGTCTTGCACGTGTATTTCCTGGACTGAGAGTGACTTCCTGCTTAAACAGGAAGTAATGGATACCAAAAAAAGGTAGAAATGTATGTATGTGAAAGGAGAATGTATGTGTGTGAAAGCAGAAATGTGTGTATGTGTAAGGAGGAGTATGTATGTGTGTGTGAGAGAGAGTAGAAATGCATGTATGTGAATGGAGAATGTAAGTGTGTGACAGTAGAAATGTAAGTGTGTGACAATAGAAATGCATGTATGTGAAAGGAGAATGTAAGTGTGTGAGAGTGGCAGAATGAATTATGGCTTGTACGGCCCCTCATAGCAGGTAACGTCCCTCAAAATCCAGACTTAATATTTTAATCATATATATAGAAAATGGCATCGCAGTTCTGGTTCTCGCCTCTAGATGGCGCTGTGGGACAACATGACTTTTTATAAACACTTGCACGTGCTGTGAGTCTCTCAACTTAAAAAAAATCAAAAAGAAGCGCCGGTTTGGAAAAAAATAAATTAATAATTCGACGGCAGTGTAAACACATTCTACAAAAAATTTATAAAGAAACAGCAAAAATCTCGAATGAACCCAAAAATCGTGCGAACGCAAAATGAACAGCCTCTGGATGGGCAACGTGAGTTCGGCAGATAGCATCTCTATTTATGCCTGTTCTTGGGCTTGCTTAAATTTTGTACAGATAAAAGAGAACGAGGCATCAACAGTAACAGGCTGGATGTTTGTGGTGTGTGTGTGTTGTATGTGTAGCTGGAGCCCTACATGGATGAAGAGTTCATCTCCAGAGCTTTTGCTCAAATGGGAGAAACAGTGATGAGAGTCAGACTGATCCGAGACAAAATAACCGGGTATCTATCTGTCTGTCTGTCTGTCTATCATCTATCTGTCTGTCTGTCTGTCTATCATCTATCTGTCTGTCTGTCTGTCTATCATCTATCTATCTGTCTGTCTGTCTATCATCTATCTGTCTGTCTGTCTGTCTATCATCTATCTGTCTGTCTGTCTGTCTATCATCTATCTGTCTGTCTGTCTGTCTATCATCTATCT